GATAATTTCTAAAATGTGCTAAATTATTGACAAACAGGTTGATGAAATACGAATTTAAGCGGTCTCGTTTAAAGCCATCATTTCGTACGTTTTATGGTCGATACAATGACCGTCAGTTAATACAATTTATCATTGAATCAAATGCTGGATGAAGTTTTCATACTTATTGTTCATGTTGTTAGTTCATTATTTATACACTAAATTGACGACGGATTTTTCTGTTATTTCCCATCATTACATGGAGCACACGGCGGGTGTGACAGGTCGGCAGGGGATGCTCACTCCTCCGTTGCACCTGATTTCACCTCTGACGTTTTAGAGGTGCGTGTTTGCTCTGTTCCTATTTTTAAATTTTAATAATGACCCTTGAGCTCAAATACTCTTCATTTTCTCCACTTATTTTTCTAAAAATTCTAATATAGAGGACATTTCTTAAATTTGGCATTTAAACCAAAGTCAATGTAAGTCACATAGGGTAGGAAAACATTTTTTGGTTGTTTTCACCAAATAAACCCCAGTTAGCTCCCTTAATTTGCACTAACATGAAAAGGAAAGTTCTGTTTTGTATATAGAAATTGTTAAGAAACCTATTTACGGTCGATACACTTACTTTGACAACAGATAAAATGTATCATTAAGTCAAATGCTGACTAATGTTTTACATATTAATTTTTGGACTATCATTTATAGGCAGTGAATTGTATTGAACGATTGAAACAGATTTTTCCGTTAGTTTCTATGACGTGGAGGACACGGCGGGTGTGACCGTTTGGCAGGGGATGCTCATTCCCCATGGCATTAACCTCTGATGTTTAAGAGGATAGTGTTTGCCCTTCTCTTGTTTTGTTTTTCTAATGGACTTTTGAACCTGAATACTTTTCGTTATCTACAATATTATATCTATGTGAAATATATTGAAGATACATACATGCATTGATAACGCTTGGATTTAAGGGCCTGAGGACCGAGCACGTGATGCAATGGTAGGTGTTTCATTGCACTTGATAATGGTCAATATATATGGTTTGTATTTTAAAACATTTTTATGTTTCATTCTGCACATTTTTAAACATTCGATAATAAATTTTAGTGGAAACACGCCATTTGATCGGGTACAAAATTATTTAATATCGTGTAATATAAGTTGCCTACGTCAGAATTAATTACGTAGAAAAACGTATTAATCCGCTTGACGTTATTATCAAACTATGCTCAACCTGAAGCAATTTATGAAGGAAATATTCTTTTATTGTTTACACTGAAATTAAATTTTAAAGGAATGAGATTTATTTGAACTTATGTCATACAAAAGAACATAACATAATATAAACAATTAAGCGTAAACTGCCCCTAGTTATGTTGCATCGTACAGCATAGGTTAAAATAAACTTCATTCCTCAATGAAATTGCTAATTTACCTTTGAAGAATAGCATGAAGAAAAAATTCTGATTGTGCTCACACGAGTACTCTGAAGTTCATATGAAAAAGATGCTCGAGTTTCTGATCGACAATGTCTTTGTGATTTTTGGAGACCAGGCTTTCTTTTGGAATTTCCATGGGTATCAATTGCACCCGTTTTAGCTGACCCATTTTTGTATTCATATTAAACAGAATTTGTCCAAAATCGTATACGTGAAAAGAAGAAAACATTTGCTGTGGCCTTCAACATTTAGATATATCGACAACGTATTGTCAATTCACAATGTTTATTCCGATTTATATGTCGATATGATATATCCCGGTGAGATTGAACTACAATATACCACAGTGTCTAACACATCTATTTATATTAAGATATTTTACTTTATGGTTATACTTTACTGTACATTAATGGTAATCTTACAACCAAGGTATAAGGCGAACAAAATAACTCGACTTTCAATTGTCAACTCCCCCTACGTATGAAAGAATGAACCTTAATGATATACATATGGGGTTTATATCTCTCATGGATTCGATACGTAATAGCATGCTCTATGTACATGTACGACAATTTTCAAAACCAGATGATTTATTGACAAACAAGTTGATGGACAAGAATATCAGCAAGAATATCTCCTTTAAAGTCATCATTTCGTACGTTCTATGGTCGATACAATGATATTGTAAGGAAATACAATTTACTGTACACATACTACGTGTATTTTCCACAGGTTCACAGTTCCGTGGAATCTATCATTGTTTTTAATGCACTGCTAGAAAATTACGCGGGTATATTGCGGGTTCCAGTAAATGTTCAACCAACCCTCTTTCGTTACTACTCACTAAGATATTGACAGTAGTGAAGGAAAAACTTCAAGAGTACTGTGCAACAATATATTCAAGAAGTGGTATGAGATGGATATGGAGAAAACGAACAGTATCCAGTCTCAAAGTCCATAAAACAATACAAAATAAGAGTAGAGCAAACACGGACCCTCGAAACATCAGAGGTGGGATCAGGTGCCATGGAGGAGTGAGCATCCCCTGCCGACCGGTCACTTGTCATGATCAGGACATAACAGAAAAAATCCGTCGTCAATTCAGTGTATAAATAATAAACTATCAATTGGTATGAAAAACGTCAGTCAGTTTGTGGTTTTTGGAGACCAGGTGTTCCAACAATCTATTGGAATTCCCATGGGTACAAATTGCGCCGTTATTAGCAGACTTTATATTCATATGAAGCAGAATTTATGCAAAATCTTATGCGTGAAAAGAAGAAAACACTGTGGCCTTCAACTCAACATTTAGATATATCGACGACGTATTGTCAATTACAATGTAATAATAGTAATTTCCATTCCTACGTCGATGCGATATATCCTGGTGAGCTTGAGATAAAAGATACCACAGAGTCCGACACTTATGTTTCATACTTGGATATATTACTTTAAAAAGACACTAATAGTAATCTAACAACCAAGCTATATGATAAACGTGATGACTTTCACTTTTCAATCGTCAACTTCCCTTACTAATGCAGCAATGTATCTTCATCATCTGCATACGGAGTATATGTATCTCAGTTGATTCGATACGAAAAAGCATTCTCTACGTGTGAACAATTTCTAAAACGAGGTAAATTATTAACAAGCAAGTTGATGAAACAAGAATATCAGCAGTCTCGTTTAAAGTCATAATTTCGTAAGTTCTATGGTCGATACAATGACCTTGTCAGCAAATACAACTTATCATTGAGTCAAATGCTGACTTACGTTTTTCATACCCTTGTAAGTCCATTATTTATACACTGAATTGACAGCGGTTTTTTCCTGATCATGACAAGGAACAGCGGCGGGTGTGACTGGTCAGCAGGGGATGCTCACTCTTTCATGCCACCTGATCCCACCTCTGATGCTTCGGAGGTCCGTGTTTGCTCTGCTCCTATTTTGTATTCTTTTATGGACTTTTACTTTGAATACTTTTCGTTATCTCCATATCCTCCATGTATGCAAAGTGTTCCATTGTATAAAATTCTGCGGAAACCACGTACATAGCGTACATTCATACTGCGCAGAAAAAAGTTCTTCTAAAGTTAATGCTGACTGACGTTTCGTCGATTACTTATTGGTCTTATTCGCAAACCGTGATTACGTCTCTATTTCAATGATTAGATTCTCAAATAGCACGTAGAAACAACATACAATGAATGAATCAATCAGATAATGTGTAAAACAATCCATTTACTTTAAGAAAACCTTGTGAAACTCTGCTAGACTCAATGCAATTAATTTCAATATATTTGTGATAGATTTTTAAAGTATAATAATAAATGCAGGCATGTTTTGACTAGTTTTGTTTTTGATCAATTTAACCTCCACTGTATTGAAAATTGGGAACATGCCAATCTTTGCTGTTACTTTACTTCCATGTCACTTTATTTTACAGGGTAAGAATTTTTATCTCATTACTCATTAAAAGCAGGTTAATCGGTATACTATAATAACAGAGATAAGTTTTAGTCAACTTTCTTCTTCGCTATTATATACAATTTTATGCTAGAGAATTCATCGACATATTTTGAAGGAGGAACTGATTGTTCACACTTGTAAAGAAGACCTTAATACGTCATTTTTTGTAATGAAAAAAAGAGTCTTCGACTTTTATGTATAAAATTTGGGATGAAAAGGGATAAACAAATATTGTAATGATAATCCTCAATTACATTATCCTTATCCTTAAAAAAAACTATTTTTAAAAACAGCGTATCGAAATCCAGATTATTCAGTGCGCACTTTAAATTTGCATTTAACAAATCAGACTGTGTTTACATTGAATGATTGATTTATACTTTTAAAGGTCTTTGTGTGCATACATTTAAACACACTGCAACAACACATATATTGCCATAGAGGATTTTTCATTACTAGTTTATGATATCCTGACATAATTATTTCTACTTATATATTAAAGCGGTACATATATTGAAAACCTGGTTGCGTTTAAATTATTTCTCCCTGACAATATTATTGGTTCAAAGTGGAACAACTTATAATAGCTTTACTTTAATAATTTAGTTAAGATTAGATTATAATTGTAAACCATGTATTGGTTGCATATTTTTTAAGACGTTAGACATGATTTCAGATAAGTATATGTCAAAATAAATATTAAGTAGTACTTTCTAGTATACAGTATTTTATTTTTAAAAAATACACATTTTTGAAATTTTTTTTTTTACAAAAGTTTTCATTTTACATATTATTCAAAAAGCAGATATTTTTGGGACATGGATATAAATTAATTGCAATTGATACTTTCTGCGAATTCACCCATGCATGCAATATGGGATTGTGTTTTGTTTATTTAAGAAATGAATTTTTTAAATCAGATCATATGTTTTATGAACATCTAATTTAAAGTTTTTTACAATGTATCGAAAATATAAATATGCATAATTTATCATTCAAACTATGTTGTTCATATAGTGATGAATATAAAATCAAAGCAGAAAAAATCCATTGTTTAACTTTTATAATACTGATTTATATAACGACGACTTTAAACTCCTTTGTAGATGTTTAAGTGTATATATCACGAAGACGGAGTCATAGGAATTATTTGTGTTGTTATCCTATTCATTTGCAATACGTCTTCTGTGTCTTCAGTAAGTACAAACCCACTATTAGTCAATCATGCATTTCTTCTCTTTAAATACAGTGTATCTACTTTTGATGTATTTTTTTTAAACTTTGTTATCTATATACAAATTCACATTGTCTACAGATATGTGTCGTAGTCAATTCTGCGAGAATTCTTACTATTATACAATTGAGTTTGAAATTATTTAAATTCATTTTTTTTTAAATGGTTGCTTTGTTAAATATTATTATTTTTTTCTTACTTCCATTTGCCTCTCTTGCTTTTTTTTTTTAAATCAAAAATTAAAATAATGTGTGCGTGTTGTAATTACTTTTAAATTATTTCATCTTTACAAAACATACAAAAACTGTCTTATATTTTTTTCCAGGGATATAACTTTGCCTTTAAAGTGTTCCCTGTAACAAAATGTCCGATGAGCAAAGAAGAATGGAACATGGCATCCATTCGGTTGAAATGTAACACAACTCATGGATACCACTGCGTTCCTGATAAATATTTTACATCACTCATTGAATTCTGCTACCCTCAAGGCTTTAGATTGCCATTTGAAAAAGGTTTTAATTTTTATACAAATATTCACATCTCAGTAAAGATGACATTAATTCATATGAAATATTGATTATGCTTTAGATAAATAATTCAATAGTACTTTATCTTTGCGTCGGAAAAAATTATATCAAAGAAATAACTTTAAATAGAAGGAAGTGGAACACCATTTGTCAGGAGTTTGGTATATTTCAAGAATTATTTTTATCGATGAAACCTGTCAGGCAGGCATGCTTTAATGTTATTTACTAACACACCTCTACTATAGATTATTCTTTTAATGAATAAAATCCTTTAACTGTATTCGATTGATTTAAAAAAGAAAAACCTTTATATTAGAAAATGTTTGAAATACTATCGGCATAATTTACCATTTTTAGGAAATTGCTTAGAACTGGCAGCTGATGGCATTTTAAACCATGTCCCGTGTGCCAACACTTTTTCTAGTGGTTGTCCTGACACTTTTTACTTCAGCAATGAACTTTACAAATGTAAGTCAGTTACTAATTAAACAATATAACTTATTGGAAATGAAAATAAATCCCCATTCCATTTTCTTTCCGAAATTGAAAGGTTTATCAATTTGATTCGGAACTTTCCAGTAAGAGTAATTAATTTTTCATGTAAGAAAAAAATATCAAAGTTGAAAAGGTATTCTTCATTGTAGATAGTCTTAAATTTATTCTTGAAAATTATTGATGCTACAAAATTTCCGATAAACATATAACATTGAATTCTTAAACACTACTAGAAAATAATTATCAAACCAATCTTTTATTTGCACAAACATACTTTACTTAGGATTTTGTATAAGTGAATGATTGAGGATATGTTTAACAATAAAAAAAACTGTAAACTGAGATGGTAGTGGTGAAATTAATATGCAGTTTGAAAAGTAATCGATAAATATTATTGAAATGCAATTGAAAAAAATAGTATTACAGGGTTATTAATATTATTACAATTCCAAGTAATTCAAACAAAAAGACGTTATTTCAATGATAATGAGCACAGGAGAACTGAGAACATACACTTGAATGGATCGAATTAATTCCAATGAAAGGTCTAAAATTATTGCCAGTGTCCTTGGTCTTTTACTGCTTGATTGTGTTCATCAGAGAGTTTCTCATTCATACAGGTACATTACTACATACTGGTTAAGGTCTAAAAATTAAACTTGTACTTTGTCTTAGCAATGCGCTCCGGACCATTGAGTAGTCAGAGATCTTTACCGTGACCATGACACTGGACCTCGATTTTTAAAGTCTCATCTATGGGAGACCCAATGACTAGTGCCAGCCACTCCGCGAAGAAACAGCCACTACCTATATTAACGTCTAAAGTGTGGCGAAAAAAGAATCGCACCTATCATTAAGCAAACATCCTACGAAAGCCCAGAAGGCTCATTCGAGATTCAAGGTTCGAAATACGAGGTTCGAAATTCGAGTTTCGAGATTCAAGATCCAGATTAACCAATCAAAAGCTCTCAAAAGGCTCTTTCAAAATTCAAGGTTCGAAATACGAGATTCGAAATTCGAATTTCGAAATTCAAGATCCAGATTAACCAATCAAACGCGGGTTCAAGATTTGATTACTCCGTTTTCTTATGATTTTACAATCAAGAAATCGTTTAATATATAAACAACAAATACGTCATTTAATTTAATTACAATGCAAGAAAGAGTGTTGTATATATTAGGTGGAAATTTAAATAAACATTGGATTTTTGATCAGCAAGATATACTTCAATTTATATTATGACTTCTTAAATATTAAATAGAATACATATATCAGGAATATATATATTTGTATTGTCTACTTTGTTTACGGGGTTGATGACATATGAATAAAGTTATGAATACGTGTCACGTGTCTAAAGATTAACAATGACCCCACCCCTACCCAACCCGCCTGCCCATTTTTCCAAACACACTGAAAGGCTAGAAACTTGAAAGACGACATAGTATTGAAAAACAAAAATCGCGTTCGTTTTCCTGATTGAGGAAATACATAAGAATTAAGTATTTAATTACTTATCTTCATCTAAGGCTTTGATTTTTTTTAAATTAATTAAAATCATATCTACAATACAGCTTGACAATATGAATTAAAATAAATGCGGCATTTATTTTATCTTATATCAAAAATAGATGAGCCTAAATTAGATGCAGAACTATATAGCGTTATGGTGTTATATTTTAGTCTCTGACCATAGCTTTATGGCCAAAGACTAAAATATACTCTTATAAAACCTTATATAACGCTACAGTTCGATTCAGAGTCAAGTCTCACTGCACAAATGTACCCTTTATAAATGTAATGAAATATATACCCTTTAATTATTGTGCAGTGTTGATACTATTCATAATGTTTTATATCTAATTATAATCAAATGCAACATTCTCCATCAGCAATGATCTAATGAAATAAAATTAGTTGACCTACTTGTTCAGCAAGTCAACGATAAGACCATATAATATTCCATATATACGTATTTACTATTTTGTTTAATTAGAAAAAAAAGATTATATATGGGGTTTTTTTCAATATATTATCCTAATTTTATTTCTATTTCGTTTTAATACATAAAACATTTTTTCTTGAATTATCATTTTGGCAGATGATCCATTTGTTGTAAATATATTCAACGATTTCTTGATAGTAAAAACGTAACAAAGGGAAGTAATCAAAAGTTGAACCCGCTTTTGATTGGTTAGTTTGGATCTTGAATTTCGAAACTCGAATTACGAATCTTGATTTTCGAATCTCGTATTTCAAAACTTGAATCTCGAATGAGCCCTTTGGGCTTTCGTAAACATCCTACCAATTGGCGACATACCTCGTCTTCTTTGCTCTTCAAAATATGAACAGAAAACAACAATTTTGCGGTCAAAGTGTTTTGAAAGTTTTGGCTAAAACAAGAATTATGACATGAAGAAGAACTAGCTGCTTGTTATCGCCCGTTAAGTTTCAGATGGTATAAGAATCTACTGCTTAATATCCCCTTTCATACTCTAAAAATGTTCATAACGCATACCTTTTTTAACAGTTCCTAAGTGTTTGACGATAAATACTGGTTTGAGATGTTTTGATGCTGATATTGAATGCATTTATTCACGGTAAGAATTTAATCTATAAAAAATCAAATATGATTGATCTCTAGCTACTGAATATTTTAAAATGCATTTATGTTTATATAAATTTATTTTTGAGATCCATACATATTACATAAAAATATCAAAGAATATAATCTTTTATGTTAGAATAAAAATTGGCTTCCAAATTTCAAAATCGTTAATGTATTCGAGGTAAAATCGTATAGTTTTGAAATTTCATATACTTTTTCGGAGGAATGATTAAAAAACACAGTCGTAGTACATAACTGCTGATTGTTTTGTTTTGGTTTGAACATGTAAATCATTTAATATGAAAAAGTCTTTTTATCAGAATTATTCCCTGACCTCACTTATGTGGCTTTGAATTGCGTCATGCTAAGTTATACAATGAAGCTTTCTTTTAGTTTAACGAACAACAAGACAGTGAATCAAGAAGAAAAAAGTACAACCGGTTATAACAATGATGGAAATCTAAAGGGAAACACGGATTCAGACAACTCGACCTTGATAGTTGTGACAATATTTCTTATAGGAATGATTATTTTGTTGCTTGTTCTAACAGCAGCTTTCATTTACAAACGTAGAAACAAACAGAAACGAAACCAAGGTAAACTATATTAAACAATGTCTTTCTATATCTTCAAATTATTATATCCCATGCTGCTTAATATAGAAGTTATAACACAACAAATGTAGAGCCCTTTAGGCTTCCGTTGCTGAAAATATAATAAATTTTTAAAATCTTTCATTAAATATTTGAAAACCTTAGCATGCTACCACACCATTCATTTCCTGTAGATAAGAATTAAGATTAATAAAACAACGCATATTGTAAGGAAGAAAGAAAGAAAAGACCTAACAAATAGTATGCGGCACATAATACAACATTCGACCTATGATAAGTTGCATCTACAAAAAAGGTTTCAAGGTTGTAGAATTTGCAAAATGTTTACTCTAAATGGGCTTGTTAAAATCTTTTAAAACCTACCTGTTTGTCAGCAGCTTGTCCCTGTTTTAAGAATTAATAACATTCAAGACATACAATTGTGTATTAGATAGGTATGCAAGTGATGTTGGAATATTGCTACATGAGTGGTTCGATTAATTTATGCTGACATGACATTAAAAACTAAGGCATTGTACAAGTTATTAATAAATATTTTTATATAAAAAGTGAAGACATTTTAACCTTCCATAAATATCTGTCGTTGATCACAATTTGTTCATAAATTTTTCGTACTTTTCACTCTTCAGAATCTGAGACTGTAGCACTGGTTAAACAGAGATTCGTATTTGTAGGGGAAATGTCCAAAAATGAAGGAAATGAAGAGGAAAGACTTCTGATGGAAAACAAGACAGCTATCATTAAGGAAGAAAAAACAAAAAGAAAGGAATTCGAAGGAAATGAGGAGATTCGAAAAATACACAAAATTATAAGCGATGGGGATGAAAATGCATTTAATTCGTTTATAAGTCATCAAAGTAATACAATGAGTCTCAAAAAAACAGACGTTAGGGGATTCAACAGTTTACATATTGCTGCTAAAGGAAGTAATCTTAAAATATTTAAGAAGATCATAGAATGCGAGGTGAGTATTGATTCAGAAGTGATGAACGATAAGCGAAATTGTATGCACATTGCTGCATATTATGGAAACAATCCGATCTGTGATCACCTTCTAAAAAAGTACGACTATTTGTTTAAAAAGAAAGATAAGTATAATATGAATCCGGCACACTGGGCGGCGTTAGCAGGACAGACGTCGATTTTGGAGCTTATGATGGGACACAATTGTGATTTGTCTGTAAAAACAGAAAAATATGAAGAAAATATTGTTTTATTCGCTTGCATGGGAAAAAGTTTACCGGTTTGTGAATTTGTTTATTCTAAGGAAAAAATTGCTTGGGTGTTAGAAGCAACAAACAAGGAAGGATGGAATTCAATTCAATATGCAGCAAAAGCTGGGGATCTTGAAGTATTCAGATTCCTTGTCGAGAAAGGAGTAGATATAAGAAACAAGTCAAAACAAACTGGAAAGAATTGTTTGCATACTGCATGTGAAAAAGGTCATGTTGACATTTGTAGGTATATATTGGAAAACAGTCCAGACTTAATCCATGATAAAGATAAAGGCAAACAACATGTCGGGCACTTTGCAGCAAAAAGTGGCAACACTGAAATATTGAAGTTACTCATAGAAAAATTAGAAATTGATGATTTAATTAAAGCAACTGATGATAATATAAACATCCTACATATAGCATGCAAATTTGCAAGAAAAGAAATGTGCAAAATGATATGTGAAAATTTTCCTTCTTTGGTGCAGGAAATGACTGAAAAAGGATGGCAAGCTGCCTTATTTATCACGGAACGAGCAGGAGCTGAAAATGATCGAATAAATATCTTGGAATTTCTCGTTTCGGATTATAAGCTCGATGTCTATCATGTATCTAGATCGGGAAAGACCATTTTATACAATGCATGTGTTAACATGTCTCCTAACCTTGTTGAATATTTGCTAGAAAATTTTCCAGACCTGCCGGATATTGAGAAGTCTATGAACCCTTTCGAGGCAGCAAAATCAAAAGAGATCGACGACGTTGTACGGAAACATTATGAAACAAAGACATCTTAGCAAGAAATAATCAACCTTAGTCCATTTCTTCTATTGGGTCTGTACATGTATTGTACTGTACCAATCAGACCCAAGTTGACACCCAACCAGTCCCGGAAAGCAGTCCCTGGAACTATCCCTTTCAATTTAGACCACATTTAAAAACTTAATTGTCTGCCCTTGCCATTATATTTTAACAGGAATCAAACATTCTAAATATTTCTATTAAGATCATGTACTAGTAATTGGGCTGGAGGCATATTATATATAATCTAGAGTTTATTTGACCAGAAGTGCAATTCAATACTAAGATGTACCATTGTATATCGTCCGTCTCTCTGTAAAAAAATGATACTCTGGTTGTAACTTGGAATACAACTAGACTACTCAAAGATTCATAACTTAGTGCATCAGTTTTTATTTAGAAATATATGTTTTCATCATATTGATATTTCCACCAAGCCAGATTTAGACTTATGTTTGTATGCTCTTTCTCAACTTGCTCTTAAAATATTTGGTCAGAATGTACTTTTAATCATGAGTTTTGACAGAATTCCTTTGCTTAAGTTTAATGAAAATTGCCAATTTAAACAATATTTGATTACGAATAAACATCAAAGAATTGGACTTAAAAAACTTGAAAACATGTCACAGTGCGTCGTATGAAATATTTGTATAAATGAAAAAAAGTTACATTTAAAATTCCATAAAATTATATATTTTAAACTGTGTGTCAATGCCGTTTTTATTTTTATTTTATTTTTTGTATATAATGAAATTGTCCCTTTTTATTCATAAGATTCACTCCATATCTTTAATTTCCCGATGACAATTTTTATCTGTTGAACTATCATGCTTTTGAAATCTGTGCAAAATATTAATATCAGTTTCATTTTTTCTGTTTATCTATGGTTTACATGCATAATTTTATTTTATTTTATTTTTTTTATTTTTTTTTATTTTTTTTGGGATTTAAAATCATTTGCTCTACAGCAATTCAAAATATACATGACAAATACTGTCCGGTTTCTAAACTTGAAATTAAGACTTTCTACATATTCAAAACAAATAGCTGATTGGTCTTTAAAGGACAAATCTACTGGAGATGCTTTCTTTTAAAAAAATTCAATACATTGTATATCTAAGCTTGAAGAAATACAAATGTAGGATTAAAATAACATCGTAAAAAGTACTTTAGAATATTCTTATCTTTGTTTAGCAAAAGTCATTAAAACTATTCATGTAAAATAATATATTTTGTCGATTCTGTTACATAGTACTGCATGTAATTTTATTATTCACGTTTTTCTTTAGAGTTGTTTTTGAAAAACGAAAAAAACAAAAACAATCAAAGAAAAAGACCATTTACGCAATGAATATTACAGTATCTTGCACAATTTAAGCTTGTTTGTATATTTTTGTAATTAAAAAAAACTTGATTTTGCAATAACCTATCCCCAAGAGAAACATTTGTGATATTTATCCTCTTATATTTTGCTCTATCATTGTTTCTAGATTATTTATATTTTTACTATCTGCAGTGCATTGTAAATTACATAAAACTGTCTCATTAAAGTTTTTTTTAATGTTTATTTTCTTTCTGAAAGAATTGTAACAAAAGAAGTGCAGCAATTTGTAGAGGAAAAACACAATTCGATGCATATTATTTATATGAAACATTTATCATAAAATAGTTTCATCTAGGAATACCTATGTCTCTTGCCAGCATCACATGGATAAAAAAAAATACGTTACAACTTCATTCTAATCATTTTAGACTATAATGATATAATATAAACCTAAATATGATATTTACCCAGCAACTTACAATGCCTTATCATTAACGAGGTGAGTTTTATATAACTTTTCAATCTTCAATTTCTCTCTTTACTTCTAAGGGGGATTATATCTCTCATCTGATTGGATACGCGAGAGCATGCTCGAAATATGAATAATTTCATTAACGAGGTAGGTTATTGAAAAACAAATTGATGAAACAATAATATAAAGAGTTTCGTTTAAAGTCGTTATTTCGTACGTTCTATGGTGGACACAATTACTTTGTCAGCGAATAAAATTTTATATTACTGTTTAGATGTTTAAAGAGTGTGTGTCTGCTTCTGATTTGTATTTTTCTTGGACGTTTGAGTTTTATATATTTTTCGTTATCTTCATGTATTTCACAGACTAATATATAAAACCGTAAGACCGTACTTCTGCAGCTAGCTTCAAATTTATTGTATCATGAAATAAATGAAAGGATATTTTAGACAAACAAAATGCGGTTTTGAAACACTAAATCCTTTTTATCGTATCGAAGTTTCTCAAATGCCAAAGTTGAAAGTCAAGAAATTAAAATTCTATTACTTAAAGAAAGGAAAGGACTTGTCACAACTAATAAACCTGTGAAATATGAAATCAGTATCACCAACCGTTCAACAGGGTTTTAAAATTTTTTTTGGAAGTCATTAAAAGCATTCAAATATTTTAATTAAGCTCCTTCTGAGCAAATGAGAATGTTTCATAGGCACAAAAAAGTTGCTATAGCCCTCGTATATCTTTAAGAAAACATATTCTAATAAACTTTAAAATAACTCTTTCTCTTTTTTAAAAAAAAAACCTTCTAATTTTATAAATATAATAATATTTTTGCGAGTAGGCCGTATCCCTACCTTATGTAAAATTTGAAGAAAGGATTAACCAGAGTATTTTCAAAACACTCCTGATCTTATCCTACTGAGTGATAAAGTAGTTTGATTTAAATACACAGAGTATAACCATTTTGAAGAAACTATTGTCTGGAGTAAACGTAGCAAAATCTAAAATCCTCTTATATAATTAGTTTTGTTTAAATAAGAAGAATATAAGTTATTTAAGAAGATAGAATGATAGAAGAACAAAACAGTTGTATTTAAGTGCACATGCGATATACAAAGTCCATATGAAAAGATGCGGTATAATTAAGTCGCAATAGTTAATAACTCTTGATTCCTAACACTTTAGGGAAGTAAATTAGAAACTAACCACGGTGACTCTTTTGTTACGATTTTGTCATTACGACTTAATGTATGCCGTTATTTCGATAAGAATATACAGTATTAGTATAATGTCTTACAAATTAAATCTACTAAATTTCGTGTATAATGGAATCAGTATCTTGTTATTGCTGCTTAAATAACTATTGAGTAATTATATTATGCTGCAACTGTATATGGATTTTGTATATAGTGTGTGTTCCTTAATATTTTATTAAAAATTCTATCTCGCCATTTATTATGTCGCTAGTACGTTTTAGTATCTGTATATTAGATAGTATATGTGTTCTTCGAGATCATGACGTCAAATCCGACATGTACTACAAGTTTAGAAAGTGTAATACACTGTCTACACGTTCGACATAAATGAGTAAAGTTATCGATTAAATTCTTTATTTCTTGATTCAGTTGATCAATTTTTAAGCAAGAAAACAAGAACAACATCAAATTTTCTAATGAATCGCAATTCAATGAATAGCATCGCAAACCTTGTGTATAGACCAACACACGTTTGATTTTCCATCTCCAAACAAATAAATTCCCAAATGTTCGGTACTCTGTTGTCGATGGCAGCCAGTACAATGTTATACCATTTGTTTTTGGACCCCAAGCTGCTGTCAAACATATTTTTTCATTGCGAGCTAAGTAATAAATGTAGTTCAGATCATTAAAATTAAGCAATTTAATTGTCTTCTAACTCGAAAGTTCTCAATACATTCAGATTCATCATATATTTGTAAAGCAATTCTGTCGTCCAATCTGTTGACCTTTCCCATTTATTCATTAAACCACTTATCCCAGCGCAAAAACCTACAGATACACAGTAAGTAAATATCCCTCTTCTTCTGAACCTCAAATAACCCGCCATCTTTTTTTTAAACTTCATGAAACATTGACATTCTGATCCAATTTTTAAGTAATATATGAACATACTTTTACACTTGGTTGCAAATTTTGCACGTATGCAAAATTCATACACGATGAGTAAATCAGCGCGTGTGAACGATGCTTAAGTATTATGTTTGCATAACTCGGTATATTGTTCATACTACATAACAAACATATTTTTGATTCAAACTTTACGCTTCCGCACTAATGTTTTGTTTATACTCCTTTGTTTATATTAAAAATATTTACAACGTCAAGCTAGGTAATATGTTTTGTTTTCTAAAACATATAAGTTCCTGGTAAAATTATGGAAGTTTCGCCCCAAAGACCTCACGGGCATAAATTTTAAAATACTAACACTAAAAAAATATGACACGAAGTGGCTATGGTAGAACTAGATTGAGGCGGTATCATTGAACTGAGTCAACATTACGCAATTCAGCTTTCCACACACACACACACACAAATGATAGTGTGATGAATAGCTGGTAAACAATTTGTTTTGTGCTGAAGTGATGTTCCAGTCGTAATAGTGATACTAAATGCAAAATTAGTAGGGTGAGTTCTGATCAAGTAAAGATAATATATTGCAAAATATGTTTGATTGATAATGTTATTTTAATTAACTTGTTTTTAAATTGATTTTGATTAAAATCTAAATTCAACCGTGAAAAAAAGTTTTTAAAGAGTTTTTTTCGGATATTGTTTTTAAAAATGATATTCTTTAATACCCTGTACATGCATAACTGGCAATATTGTACATATTGTTTATTGAATAATATCAATCTGCATTACTCTTCCTGTCTGCACATACTGAAAAGCAAAAACAGGAAATGACTCCTTATACAAGAAAAATATTACGTTTCTGCTTGGGTGGCTGTTCTTCTAACGCTCGTATATGCAGGCCAAGTCACGCCTTCTTTAAAAATTAGGTTACAGCTATTGCAGAACAAAGACATAGATAAATCAGTGCTATGATTTTTATACAATTGATACAACCGTTATTTGCACATAAAAGGGTCTTGATACATTTTAATACCGAATAGACACAGGAAAAATTTGTGTAGGATTATTAGATACAGATAAATTTCTGTAGTAATATTAAGAATGGGTTCGTTTCATAACATTATGTTTTGGAAACAAAACATATAGCCAGGTTTGAAGCCCTTATGTCTAGAGAGATAACATTATGCTCCGTGTTATGGCTAGATAAAAAAAAAAATCTTGGGCAAATTAAAAAAAACTATATAGTTAGTTCGTCCGTTGCTGTAACCTTAAAAAGAGCAAAATGTAGGACATAAAATTGTTTGTAGAATTAAAAGCTAACAATTGTTACAGCTGAGTTGAAATGACAAAGTATGCAATGTTTTCTCACAAAGATGATTTGTTGTGACATTGTGTTATCCGCGGTATTCATTAATAGCGAGCGCAGCGAGCGTCGCGAAGCGACGCTCGCGAAGCGAGCTCAATAGACTAACGTGTAAGAACAGAGGAAATTCGGATTGAAATCTGTACATACGTCAGCCAAATTTCTCTGTGCAACATTCCCAGAATTCCTGCACTACCCAATGTCCTTTGCGCGAATAAATCAAAAATAGTAAAAAAAAATAAAGGAACATTGTTTCTTACCGAAATCTTAACGAAATGATTTTGCCTTACCTTATTCAAAAAAATACCCCCATGCCACAACACCGGCTTTCACCTTGCCCTTTGGAAATGATACAAATGACGTCACCGGAAACTTACGAATTTTGACGATATGCTAATTAAGTCATGTCGGTTGCTTCCGTGAAATAGATAAATAAATAAACAATAACGTAAAGCATAAAAAGCTTTCAGTTTGTAGAAATCTTTCAAAGAAACAAAAAATAACTCTGCAATGTTTTTCGACCGAAATTGTGCTAGATCTATAGTTTAAAACAGACGCTCGGCCGTTTCCGTAAGCTCCGACGAGCTCCGTGACGTCATGTGACGTCAAAGCTAGTCGTGATTCTCGTGCGACTTGTGATGTTTGAAGTGGCTGATCAATTTTTCAAGTGTTTTGATGGTACAACTGCGCTCGCCTCAACGGTCACGCCGTAAAACATATTAACAGTATTGATTATTCATCCTGCGGTAATGAGTGTGTTGGGGGATTTTCAAGGCCAGATATTAAAATAAAGTGCGCAGTTTAAGTAAGTTGATGAGGGAAGTTATTTAATATGAAGAACTGCAGTAAGTGAAAATTAAATATTGTATTATTTGTATTTGAATCGATTATCTTTTTAGGCTGACGAAGATTTAATGTAATGTGCATTGTACCATCATAGGCGTCGGGACGACGGAAGCAAACTGGAAGAGTGTTGGAGGGCTTATTGAAAGTGTTTGGGTTAAAACAACAAAAAAGGTAAGCATCATTTTGTAATGCCCATATTACACATAAGTCTATACTGTGGTTTCATCAATTTTCGTCGGCATCAATTTTCGTGGATTTTGTAAAGCAGACATTTTTGATGATACGTAATTTCGTCGACGAAAGCATTGTCTATACAAATGTATGTCATATTTCCTAATTCAAAGAACATTTGAATTCGTGGATCAGTTCAACAACCAAATCCACGAAAATTGGTGCTCAACGAATATTGATGAAACCACAGTATTTGCCAAAAATAAGTGGGAGCTAGGCTCCCTATCCCTCCCGGGGTTCTTGACGCCTATGACCATCAGGAATATCGAATCATGTATATTTTAACTCCCCTTTGAGAACTTTTTTCATTAATGAGACAATGCACTTTGCTGGAAGACCTATACTCAGCACTTAGGGCCATCAAGCACAGGGGGATCTATTTGTACCAACACTTAGTGCATTAAGGGACATTGGTGTCCCTGGTTTTATTCGAAGGACCAACGTCTTCACGTCATACAAAGGGATTCGAACCCTCTACGTAAGGATCAACTCTTCATTCCGCAAATCTAAAGCCAAAGCACAAACCACGACTTCCCTTGTTAATATGAGACGGAATTAATGCTTTACTGTCTTTGGCTCTTTGGGTCACCCGAGTAAACTCAGGTGACCTATTGCTATCCGTTTTCGTCCGTTGTCGTGCGTTGTGCGTTAACCTATTTACATTTACAGCTTCTTCTCTGCAACCACTGAACCAATTTCAACCAAGTTTGGCATAAAGCATCTATGGGTAAAGGGGAGCAAAAATTGTGAATTTCATGATCCCTTCCCCCTCTCGGGCCTGAGGGGTGGGGTCAAAACCACTAAAATTAATGCAATCTTTAAAAAATCTTCTTCTATACTCCTGGACATCAAGCAATCAAACTGTTTGCTTGATTGTAATCAGCATTGAGTCCTCTACCAAAATTTGTGAAATTCATGGCCCGGGGGTCAGGGGTTCTAGTGCTAGGACGGGGCTAAATAAGTATATGGTGAAAATGCATTACTTCTTTGAAAATCTTTCTCTCTGCTCCTGGGTAATAAAATTGTGAATTTTATGGCCCCAGGGTCAGGGGTTCTGGTGTTAGGGCAGGCATCTATTGATTATATAGTGAAAATACATGAATTTTGAAAAATTTGAAAATTTGTGTCTCTGCTTCTGAGTAATAAATAAGCTAACTAAGTGGATAGTTATGACGAGCAAGAGTTTTTCTACCAAAATGCAGGGTCAGGGGTTCTGGTGTTAGGACGGGGCTCTATTGATTAAATAGTGAGAATACATGAATTCTTTGAAAATTCTCTAATCTGCTCCTAGGTATTAAATAAACTAACTAAGTACATAGTTATAATGAGCAAGAATGCCTCTTCCAAAATTGTGAATTTTATGGTCCCGGGGTCAGGGGTTCTGGTGTTAGGGTTGGGCTCTAGTGAAAATACATTAAATAGTTGAAAATTTTCTTCTATGCTCTTGAGTATTAAGTAGATGAACTACCTATATGGTTATGATGAGCAAGGGCCCAAATCTTCCAGAATTGTTAATTTCAAGGCTTCAGGGTCAGGGGTACCATAAAGGGGGGCTGTACTTATATACTGAAAATGAATTATTTGTTTTGAATTCTGCTCCTTTGTAATCAAATTTTTTTTTTGAAAAGCAAGGATGCCTTTTCAAAATTTTCCAATGTGTGGATCTAGACCTAAGAGTCAGGGGTTCATGTGTGGTAGGGGCACTACTGATTATTGCTGAAGATTACTGATTAGTTGAAATGCATTTTTTGTTCCTCTACCCTGCCTATGGGTATTAAGTAACCAAACTAAGCAACTGCTAAGTGTATAGTTATGATGACCAATGGTGCCTCTTTCAAAATTGTGAATGCCATAGTATCTGGCTAAAAACATGAATCAAATTCAATCACTGGAAAGATGTTGCATAATGCTCAGGTGACCTATAAGGCCCATGGGCCTCTTGTATATTATCGCTATACAAGAACAATCGACAATCCTCGCATGACTGCGCTACGTTCCATACAAACCTCAGATGTTATTGATGGAAAAAGATACGATACAGTTCTTCGTCGGAAACTGCTTTGTAAATCATTTTATATTACGCTCTGCCAAAAATTCTTTTAAAAGTTTTTTTTAACTTGTCTAATTCTTCCTGGTATATTGATTTTGATTACAACCTTATTTTAGTCTTTGAAGTTGAAAGCAATAAACGTGTTGAGGGTGCCACAAAATAAAACAAGATGTGTTTGTGAAACACTGATGCCCCCGTATGGCAACATATCAAAGATAAATCTTTTCTTGAATGCAAATTTGATTAATTGGCACCAAAAGTAGGGTATTCTTACAGGAAAACAATTGTGAAATTTGAAAGTAAGCCAATGTTAAAGTTTTTTTTTTTTCAATAAGTATAAAAATCTCCAAAGTCAAGGTCAAAGTAATTTGGTATCAAATAAAAGTTCTTGCCACATAAAATACTTATGTAGAGCATGAAAGCCCTAGTCCTAAAAGTTCAGAAGTTATGGCAAAGGTTCAATTTTTTAAAAATAGGTCAAACTCCAAGGTCAAGGTCGAAGGATCAAAGTTCTTGTTATGAAATTAAAAGTCTTGTCACAAAGATTAAATATGTGAAGTATGAAAGCACTAGCCCTACGCCTTTAAAAGTTATGGTCAAGGTTTGCTTATTTAAAGTAGGTCAATCTCAAAGGTCAAGGTCAAAGGGTCATAGTTCTTGGTATCCAATGAAGGGTCTTCTCACAAGAATTACATATATGAAGTATGAAAGCCATATCCATTACCGTTCAAAAGTTATGGCCAAGGTTAAAGCTTTTTCACTAGTATGGAAATCTACAAGGTCAAAGGGTCAAGGTTGTTGGTATCAAATGAAAGATCTTTTAACAAAGATTACATATGTGAAGTATAAATGTCCTAGTATGTACTGTTCAAAAGATATGGCCAAAGTAAAAGTTTTAAATTTTCATGTAAAAGTGGGTCAAACTCCAAGATCAAGGTTATAAGGTCAAATTTGGTGGTACCCAAAGAAAGGTCTTGTCACAAGGAATACACATGTGAAATATAAAATCAAATACTAAATCAAAAGTTATGGGCAGGATTAAAGTTTTTGTGGACAAACAGACAAACAGAGAGACAGACAGCTAGACAGACAGACGGACACGACAAAAACTATATACCTCCCGAAACTTCGTTTACGGGGGCATAAAAAGACTCCAAAGATAAACCATTTGTATGAATTTCAAATAAGATCACATGACTGTATATCATCAATAATAATACGATAGAATACTGTTTACGTCCAAGGTAAGCATGCGAGAAAAGAGCCATTCAATGAGCTGCGAGTGATATTATAATGTGCGTGCAGTAGTGCAATGTGTGTATTTCCAATATTCCTGAAATATAAATACATGAATATGCAAACGGAACGAAACTATTTAGCGTTGCGTTGACGACGTGTAATGTGCATGCTTTTACCAATTACCTGAAAATGCATACGTGTACTTGTAATGTGGAATGCCATCACTAGCTGCCTTATAGCATAAAACTATGCACTCATTATGTCAATCTATCATTACGTGATGTGAACATAAATTTACGTTATGTCAACTTTTTATGGGGTGGTGTAAAAATATCTTTACACCATGTCAATGCTGCATTACATGAAGTAAGCACTTTCTTCCATTATGTCAGCACTTTCTAACTTCAAGTCCGAAGTTCATTATGTGGAGTGAAAATATGTTTACATTGTGTTAAAACTTTATTAAGTGAAATAAATATTTCTTTATATTATTTCATTTCTTTAATATGTGCGGTCAAAATTTCATTACGTCAAGTTAATTTCGTTTTACATGTGTTCTATGATTAAATTTATCATTACGTTAAGTCAAAGTGCACTCCCTTTTGTGAATGTATATTTCTATTATAACATACCATTATCACGTGATGTTAAATTGTATCTTTATTTTACGCCGTGGTCATCATAATGTGAGGTGAATACATCTTACCTTTATCCAGTGCTATATTACGTGATGTAAAAACTTTTATAACATAATGTGAAAATACATTATGGAAACAGTCCCGGCGTTCCATATTATATCAAAACTTTATAAGCTTTTTATTAGTCTTTAGTCCTCCTTTTTTAAAAAGTGTAAACACGTATCGTGTTTCATACGTGCACTGGTAGGTGGATGGGGAGAGGGGGATCCCGCCCTCCCCTCTTTAGTGACCAAACTATGCCGGTATGAAATTAATCAGCTGGTTTTACTTTGTAGGACATCGCATTAGTTTCACATAAAGTGTAACTGAAATAAAACTTTAAAAAAAAAAAGCCCGAGAGCTTTCAGGCTTTTACCCCACTGGTCCCCAACTTAGACACCATACCGTCCCCCTATAGTTACTCTTTTCAAGAACCCAAGATCGCCACTGATATGTGCCCATGTTTACTGAGGCATGGTCATTTAAATTAAATGAGTGACTGGTAGATTTTTGTAACAGAATTCTGGTCCTAAAATGATTGAAAATGACTTATTTCAGTGACATTACATCGTTTTTGAAAGTTTGGGGAGGTTTGTCAGCCAAAAAAAATAATAACTTACAAGAAAAAGCAAAAAAAAAATTAATAAATTAAAAATAATAATAATAATAAATAAATAAAAATTGTCCAAACTCGAAATTTCTATTTCGGGTGAAAGGGGGGATCCAGCTTCGATCAGTCCTAATTTTTTTTTCCCAACTATACTACATTGCCCTAATACTTCAGCAAAAAGTGGGGCGGAATTTCAATGAATATTTTCTACGATGAAGTTAAATCGGAAAAAAGAGGAATCCAGTTGTGAAAACACGATTATCAACTTTGACATAATGTAAAATATTACAGTAGGTAATGAACATAAATTGCAATCAACGTGATAAAGAGTTAACACAATGTAAAGATAATTTGAAATAACATAAGAAAGAGTTCACATATTCTCATTTAAATACGTGAATAAATAGTTTTGACATAATGTAATTAGGACACTGTTTTGTAGTTAGCTCAGAAGTTTCGGACTTTTCAAAACAATTCAAAATGAAAAGGAAAATATTCCTGCATGACACATACTATTTGATTTGCGATCATTATGCGATTTAACAGCCATTATATATAAATTTCGACGTTAAAAAATCGTCAATAAAGATTCCACTGGAACATGATCCTATCCTTTAACCTGATATTTATTTAAGGATTAATTAAGTCTTGTGTATAATTTGATATTTGATATGTTAAATTGAAATTATTTGCATGTTTAACATATGTGCATATAATATTGAAAACACAGAACGAACTTTTAGACATAACCTAAACCTTATGTCACACAATAAAGGGTTGAAATATTATAAGATATACTGACAAGAGGCGAAGCATTTTAGACACAATGTAAAGATACAATGGCATAACATTATAATGATTTGTCAAAAAGTAAGGGAAAATTGACATCATATAATAGATTCCCGTCGTCATGTAGCATATTGACGACACAGTATAGTAAGGAATTGGCCACATGTGACAACTTTTTCACATCATGTTATGAAAATCTGGCATCGTGTTATACCGACTTCATATTGAATTAAAGATAAATTCACATCATGTAATGGACTACTTAGACCAAATAGGAGGGAGTGCGCATAATGTAGCAATGAGTTGAAATTATATAAAAAAAAATCTTTACACCACGTAAAATTGTTTTAACTTAATGTCATAAAGAGCTGATATAATGCAATGATAGATTGGCGCAATGTAATTGAAGTGTGAGTATGCCATAAAGACTTGACATGATGTACTGGAAAAATGACTCAATGCAATAGTACTGTAAGTAAATGTCACTAAGTGTTGACATAATGTAATGGAAAGTTGACACAATGCAATTGTAGTGTTCTGCTATAAGGCAATGACGGCGTTCCATATTGTGAAGTATATTAAACTTTGTTATAAGTCAAGATGTTAGTTATAATCTGATTTAATAATGGTGAAAAATTGACAAAATAGAAATTTAAGAGCAACACTTTGCATAACTCTTCATTAGCATTTTATTTGACTTAATTTAACAGGGAAAGAGAACCAGAGAAATAGATCATGAAAAAAGAAGACGACATAATCAGCATCTTTCCTTTTATACTTTTTTTGCCATTGCTTTCTTCTTATCCCATTGTAAGTATAAAAATAAGATTATAAAAAAATTAGATATTAATGAAGAAAAACATGATTATAAATCAGTAGACCTTATTATACACATTTTCTCTAACAAACCACACATAATATAACGTTACAAATGCGCTGGGTGTAATAGACAGAACTAACTTATTAGCCAGGCTTATTGCTCAAAAAGCAATTGCCGGCTTATGTGATCCTGTTAAAGGCAGGATGTTGACCCCATAGTCGCCATTTTAAAGTTACGTGCAAAAATATAGTTCTTACTCTCAACCACTTTTGAGTCTGAGATAACACAAACGCTAAATAAAGCAACAAAAATAAAACGAAGTTTTATCTATATAAAATAAACATTAGTAGTAATGACTTTGAAAACTTCGTAAGTCAAAGAACATAGTTCATTAGCGTAAGGATTTTTGATAATCAGTGTTACCGTAGTTCTCTACACATACGAGGTAAAGCAGGAGAGGGAACCAGACTGGCCTGTTTGTTTACATTCAGCTGCGGTACCAGATTAATTCTGATTCTGACAAAATCGGACCGTGGTATTAGGATTGAAAAACTCACTGTCAGTGTCTTATCATTTATATTGATAGTTTTAAAATAATTTTTTCATCAGAATATAAATGTGATTCATGTAAGAAATCCATTCTACTCTGTAAATGAGCCCGGCTCTGTGTACTTCTGAGTACTTTGATATTTATATGGCAACAGATCCTACCTCATGTGTTTTAGGAGATCCGTGTTCGTTCTGCTCCCAATTTATTTGTTTAAATTGACCTAGAGCTTAAATACTTTTCGTAATATCCATAATTCATAAAAAAATGTTTAAAAAAAAAAACAAATAAACAATAATAAGAAATGCGGGTTAGTCAATATAATTTAAAATGCAAATTCGTAATATTGTCTGATGGAGATAACGTAAAGTATTTACGATCAAAAGTCCATGAAACAATTCGAAATAGGAGCAGAACGAACACATCTAAAATAAAAAAATCGGAGGTGGGATCAGGTGCCATGAAGGAGTCATCATACCATGCCGACCGGTCACATCCGCCGTGTGCTCCTTGTCATGAATGGAAAATAACGAAAAATCCCTCGATAATTCAGTTTGTATACAATGACCTAATATGCAAAATTTGACTTTGATAAATTGTATTCGCTGAGGAGGTCATTGTATCGACCATAGAACTTACGAAATGATGACTATCAACCCCGTATGCAGGTGATGAAGACACAATATATATTTCTGCATTAGTAAGGGAAAATTGAAAAGTTGAAGTCATCTCGTTTGCCATAAGGAATGATCTTATGAAAGATTAACATTTTGTTTTTGTGGTTTGTTGTTGATCGATGGTATTTAAAATTCAGTTTGATACGATAATTTTTAACATGCAATAAAATTATATTCAAATTTTTAAAGAGGAGAGGGCAGTTAATGGTAAAAACTGATTTCATAAAAACTAAGTGTATTTCTATCCTCAGAAAAGTATTTCTCCTTGTAGATTGTGATATCAACTGGTTTCCATTATAACAATCTTTATTTTTGTGGAATGATGTTTGATACTAGTAATTGCTTTAGTTGCAAGATAACACGTATGTGTTCATTTTCTTTTTTAAAAGACTCGTGAATACCGTTTTGATGTGTATTCTGTCGGCAAATGTCCAATGAACAGAAATTACTTCAGCTTGGCTTCAGAGAGAAGAAAATGTCCCAATGGAACCAGATACCTCTGTGCTCCTAATAAGAACCTTTCAGCTTTAATTGAATTCTGCACTGACGCCATTAAGTCTCGGTTTCAAGAGGGTAAAAATAAAATTTTCAATTTCACCAAAATAATTTTGCTACAAGCATGCAATATTCATATTTTCATATTTATCAGTAATCGGATGATTAATATTTTTCATTTATTAACATTGACCTAAATGGACTTTGTAAAATCAAAATACTGTACAACGTTAAAACCAAAGGCTTTGAAATGTTTTAAATACATGTTGGATTAAGACAAGAGATTATTTTAGGTAACTGTGTGAGACTCGAGGGATCAGGTGATTTGAATCATTACAAATGTAAAGAAAGTTTTTCCTTTGGCTGTCCTAACATGTCATATATCGATGAAGAGATTTACAAGTGTACGTATGGTTAACCCATTATTATTACATTTTTTTTATCTCACCTGAGCCAAAGGTTCAAGTGAGCTTTTCTGATTAAAATTTGTCCGTTGTCTGTCGTCGTTGTCGTTGTTGTCGTTGTAAACTTTTCACATTTTCATCTTCTTCTCAGTAACCACTGGGCCAATTTCAACCAAACTTGCTACAAAGTATCCTAAAGTAAAGGGGATTCAAGTTTGTTCAAATGAAGGGCCACGCCCTTTTCCAAGGGGAGATAATTTTGAATTTGAGAAAAAATTAATGCCATTTTTAAAAAATCTTCTTCTCAATAACGACTGGACCAGGAGATGTGAAACTCATGTGAAATCATCCTCAGGAAGTGTAGATTCAAGTTTGTTCATATCATGTCCCCCGGGGGTAGGGTGGTGCCAAAATGGCCGATCAAAGTTTTACGTGGGAAATATAGGAAAAATCTTTAAAAATCTTCATCTCAAGAACCACTGGACCAGGAGAGATGAAACTCATGTGAAATCATCCTCAGCTAGTGTAGATTCAAGTTTGTTCATACAGTATCAGGTCCCCCGGGGGTAGGGTGGGGCCAAAATGGCAAATCAAAGTTTTACATGGGAAATATAAGGAAAATCTTTAAAAATGTTCTCAAGAACCACTGGGCCAGGAAAGATGAAACTCATTTGGAATCATCCTCAGATAGTGTAGACTCAAGTTTGTTCAAATCATGACCCCCGGTGGTAGGTTGGGGCCAAAATGGCTGATCAAAGATTTACATAAGAGTATATAGGAAAAATCTTTAAAAATCTTTTTCTCAAGAATCACAGGGCCAGCTAGGAAAGATAAAACTCATGTGGAATCATCTTCAGATAATGTAGATTCAAGTTTCTTCAAATCACGACCCCCGTGGTAGGGTGGGGCCTAAATGGCCGCTCAAATTTTAACATAGGAGTACATAGGAAACATCTTTAAAAATCTTCTTCTCAAGAACAACAGGGCCAGCAAAGATGAAACTTATGTGGAATCATCCTTAGATAGTGTAGATTCAAGTTTCTTCAAATAATGACCCCCAGGGGTAGGTGGGGCCAAAATGGCTGATCAAAGTTATACCTAGGAGTATGTAGGTGGGCCAAAATGGCTGATCAAAGTTTTACCTAGGAGTATATAGGAAAAATCTCTAAGAAAAATTCTTCTCAAACACCTTTGAGACAGGAAAAATGAAACTCATGTGAAATTATCCTCAGGTAGTGCAGATTCAAGTTTGTTCAAATCATGATTCCCGGGGGTAGGATGGGGCCAAAATGGCTGACCAAAAATTAATTCTCATAGGAATATATAGGGAAACCTTTTAAAATCTTTTCAAGTACTTCAAGTCATGATTAGTAATATTTATGTAGAATTATCCTCAGGTTGTGTATATTCTAGTTCGTCCAAATCATGATATGTGCTTTTTCCTAGCTAATGTGCTCAGGTGAGCGCTGCGGCCCCTGGGCCTCTTGTTTAAGATTTGATCCATAAATTCATTTTATAATTATGATTATTATAGATCCTGCATGTTTACATATCAACAAGGAGGATCAGTGCTTTTCTGCCGACAAACATTGTCCAAATTCTACAACGTATGTAATATAAACAATTTCTTTTGAAGTTAACAGAAAAATTATCATTTATTTTTAACAGTTAATTTCTGATGAAAACTTACCAGTATTTAATGGGTTTCAGCAAGCCTAGTTCGGTGAATAGTACAACCTTTGTTAATCATGGAGATGCAACGTACGAAAGTGTGGGATATATCATCGGTATTTTGATACCTGTTGCAAGTCTACTCTCATTAATTGCATTTTATTCATGTCAAAAGTGGACTTTAGACCATAGGAGAAGTAAGTATTTTTTAATATATTCGATCAATGCATACTATTTATGCAAGATATATTACTGTATTCAGCGGCGGCTCACACAAACTGGTCCGACCAAAATAGTTCCATCATGATAAGTAGATACAACATTATTGTTCATGATAAGAGTAAAGTTGTGTATGTCATACGTTAAAGAAATCAAAAATAACGTCAAAATATTATTAGAAAGTCACTTTCCCCTCGAAATGCAAATAAAAAATATCAATATTCCTACGCTCGCTCCCTCCTCAGCCCTTTTTTTTTTTTTACATGTTTGATAACCGAGAATATATAGGTCATTCTTCGATTCATATTTTTTCAGCGATGAATTGATAATACTATATCAACAATTGTATTAAGTACATGTTTATAGTCCGTTAATTATCATACAATTTCCTCTTAAAGAAAAAATTAATCATTCTGTGTGTGTGTATTATCAAATAACGGAATTTTCAATCCCTGGCCGGATTCTGCTCGTGTGTACACTTGGTAAACTGTGGGTATAAAATTGTGTAGCAAAACGAGAACTGGGTCGCAGATTCGGGTTCGTGTTGAAGTTCAGCATACTATTTTATATAGAACTTGAATAATGTAAGTAATTTCTGCGACGATTACATTTAGTATATTTCAGTAATTTTCAAAAACCAAAAAGGTTTTCAGTTTAGAATTTTCCGATCCGGTCCTGATTTTCCTAACCCGGCCATTTTAAACACAAGTTGTTGCAGATGCAAATGATAGAACAAACTATATATAGTTCAACAGGGATTGTATAATTTTTATTAATCAGAATTCGTATTCATATGATCTAATTAAGAAAAGAAAAGGTTTGTCTGCCATCGTAACTTCTCGGCAAAACAAAACGTGTTTCTCCGAGCTCGCTGGATGCGTTTGACAGCTCCATCGCACGTGTGTAGATCAAGGCTAATGTTGGTCTTGCGGACAGAGGTACATGTAGGCCTATGTGTACTGTTTGTTAGGAGACTGGGTGACCGTAATGCTATGGACTCACGAGATTTACACCAGTTCCATAACTAGACATTGCAGTTTTTCTTATTAACGTCATTATAAACACTGATAAACATATTAAATCTAAAAGTCGAATATCTTTGGATATGGGGTAACCCATATCTATTCTTGTTATATTTATGTTTTTGTAAAGTCCAAAAAGTTTCTTATTATCAAAGTACAATGGAGCCTCATTTATCCGGACGCTTTGGTTCCCAGTCAATTTGTCAAGAAATGTGAAGCTTCCGGATACCTGAATCACCAGTTAAACAAGACAAAATAACATTTTTTAAAAAATCGTTCCGATGAAAAACCGTCCGGATACTGAAGCATCCGGATATCTGGCGTCCAAATATCTGAAGGTCCTCCGTCAATCTCTCACCAGAGGGCGTTTTTACGCTCCGCTCCAACACCTCTGTTATCGTCTAAATTACAAGAATCTTGTAAAACGAAAATAAATTATAGATTCACACCAACTTGGTATTTATTTGAAATAAAACTAGAACTATCAATCTTTAGTACTTCTTTTGTTCTTTTAAAATCTGGATATATATTAAAATAGCTTCAATATATACGGCACTATTTTGTTTAGAATTTTTACACACATTTTCATTTTGAAATCAAGGAGACAAAGTTAGAAAATATTTACTACCAGAGAGCTTGAAACACGTATCATCATTGGCAAACATACAAAACAATCAATGTTTATACAATTTTTGTTGACATTTAATTATTTGACAATCCGCACTACTTTTAAGACGACAACAGAGGTGTAAGCGGAGCGCGCCCTCTGGTGAGAGATTGGGTCCTCCGTACACTTAACTTTTATTTCTATGTTGATCAAAACATAACACTTTCGATCAATCTTTCAGAAATATGTGGCATAGAAGAACTGAGACGTTTCCTCAGTAAAGAATATGTCAAAGTTTATCATGCAAGATGTATAATAGTTGGCTGTGCTAAAGCCGGAAAAACAACACTTCTGAAACGTCTACAAGACAGGCCTTATAAAGAAATAAAAGATATAGATGAAACCCATGGTGTTGATGTCTATATCAATAGCTTTGAAGTGTTGGAAGATACAATAAGAGGTAAAATTCTGAATTGGAATTTTTTTAACATGTTTTGTAGCATTATTTTTAAATTATGTTTGTTAAAAGTATTTGAATAATAATTGTTTCACAATACCTGTATTCAAAATATACAAAGATTTCCTTGTAAAACGATATTTCGTTTCATTTTTTTTTTTTTGTTTATAAATAATAGCAACAGAAATGAAAAGTTCAGCAAATGAAAAAAAATATTTGTCTTATACTTCTCTCAGAGCCAAGTTTTATTTTAAGAATTGAGCACAAGTGTTCAATTTTTTTCAATATTTAAATGAAATGATTTATTGGGGAAAAAATTATGGTTATTTCCTTTTTCATCAAAAATTTGATTGTTTTCTCTGATTGCTATTGTTGTTGAAAAGCAAGTAGCATATTCCGATATTATAATTTGCTTGCACGAAGAGGAATTTAGCTTTCTACCTTTCAACCCTTAGCTTCTCGTTATGCAGTAATTGATCCCCAATCTAGCTCTTAAACAGGTCCAGTCAAAAGACTATTTATACCTACGTAGCTATTAATAGCTACGTAGGTATTTAAACCTACCACAAGTAGCTATATTGACTTACTTTTTGTATTATCTGCATTTTTTTATCAAAAGACCAAATGCCGCAACATGATGAATACCATATATTTTGATACAGTCACACTAATGATGAATACGACGAAATTTTAGCCAAAACATGATACTTGCTAAATATTCAATTTTACATTAAATTCTATGCAAAATTGAAAATTTACGATGCAATCATTTTTTGGTCAAATTTTTGTCATATCTATCATCAGTGTGACTATATCAAGAAATATGGTATTCATCATATTGCGCCGTTCAGCCTTTTGGCCACAAAATGCAAGTAAAGCAGAAAGTAGGTTACAATAGCTACTTTGGGTAGGTTTAATTACCCACGTAGCTATTAATAGCTACTTACGTAGAAAAAGTCTTTGGACTGGACCTGTTAAAGCATAGGGCTCAAAGCAATGAAAACTTTTTTAAATGCTATTATACATTATTTGTTTAATATTTTATTTGTTTATAGTGGTCAGAAGAGGTGATTTTCCTGAACATCCAAACATCTTAATTTCTCCGGATGATGTATTAAATAAAGATGATGAGGAAAAATTTGACTCTTTAGTAGAAGAAAGAAAGCAAGAGTCGTATACAAAGGGTGAGGAAAGTAAACCTCTGCTTGATGTATCCATTAACGACACAGTACAAAATCGTAACCAAGTGGGACAAACATCTAATTTAATGGAATGTAAATCAATTGAGGACGCAGAAGAAACAACTCCTAAATGTATAGATTCTGGACCTTCGCCAGAAGGATCCCCAAAAAGTAATAGCATTGAAGAACAAAATGACACCGAAATAGAAAAGTATGCCATGACAAAGATTGTAGAGGCTGTTCATCAGCTTGAGAGGGTACCTACAAGTAAACCCAGAATAACGTTCCTTGATTTTGCAGGACAAAATGCATACTATGCTTTTCATCAAATCTACTTTAGTCCCAAAACCTTTTATATCCTTGTGGTTGATATGTCTAAAAAGTTTACGGATATAAATCAAATGGATGTAAGAGGAGTTAGCAGATTCACTTCATGGACATATGGAGGTATGTAAAATATCTGCAGTTTACCGTATTTTAGTTCTCTACCGATCAGAATTTTTTTAACTGTTTTATTTTAGATTACTACAAGTTTTGGCTGAAGTCTATTGATAGTTTTAGTGACACCCGCACACCAGTAATTGTAATAGCCACTCACGCCGAGAACAAATCTAAACAGGTTGGTTGAATTCATACAAATTAATTAGTAACACGAGAAACATGAAGATTTTTCTATAAACAAATATATTTAAGAAATTTATACCTACTTTAGATAAAACCAAAAAAAAATCTTTCAGAAATAAAATATGTTATAGGATTACAAATCCGTTTATATTTTGAATCTGTATTTTGTAAATGCATTGATCACACGTCTGTAAGCTTTACAGCATTACATAGCAAATCTTTTCCACACCTGTAAGAAATGTCGAATTTACCATACAAATAAATATTGAAAATGCAGATACTTGGACAATTTTCATACCCCTTTTATCGAATATTTCTTCCCTGTTCGTCTGTCTATTTGTCTTTTTGATTGCAAAACTTTAATCTTGTCAATAACTTATGACTGGATGGGGCTATGGCTTTGATATTTCACAGGTGCGTTTCTCGTGACAAGACCTTTCTTTGGGCAAAACCAAATTTGACCTCTTCCTGTATGATTTTGACCCACTTTTACAAAAAAAGAACACGAAACTTAAACCATGATAATAACTTTTGACCAGTTGCTTCTAGGGCTTTCATACTTCACGGGTATCTATTTTTGACAAAACCTTTCAGGTGGTATAAATAGTTTTGACCATTCGATTTCAACTACATAATTTTACCTACTCTGTAAAAAAAAATAACTTTGACTGTAACTTTTGAACAGATAGTACTAGGGCTTTCATTTTTCACAGATGTGTTCCTTGTAAAAAAAAAAAAAACTCTTGATACAAACCTTTTAGACCTTGCTCTTTGGGGTTTGTCTTGCATTTGAAAAACTACAACCTTCGACATTAGCTGTCATACAGGGCTTCAGTGTTTCACAACCACTTCTTGTTTTATATGGTGTGCAATTCACATGAACACATTTAAAATTGTCCCTGAGCTCTGAGGGAGAGGGGGATTTACCCTGTTTTACCCTTGTAAGTCTGTCTATCTGACTGTCTTTCTCTCTACCTGACTCATTGTTATGACTGCTAAAATTCTGATTATTGATCTGTAAACAATATGAGTGAAAAATTCAGCAAACATTAAAAATAAAGTTAGCAATCTTTATTAAGTGCATCGTCGGATACCCATGGGTGAGATCGTAATTTACTCATCACCCGTTGAAAAACTTGCTAACATATTGCCCTAGAATATAGTAATTTGTTGATAATAGACTGCCAGTCTGAAAATTGGACCTCTCGGTTCACTTTATGCATAAAATGGACCTATAGATATACCAATTGATCGATTTACACTTGATTTTCCATTTGAGGCATTAAATAAAATAGACACTGAGTGCTTTCATTACCTATTAAAAATTTTCTCGTAAAAGTTCAGGTCTTGGAGAACTTGCTATATGTATGGAGATAAGGAACAGTATTCAATATCAAAGTCCATAAAACAATACAAAATAGGAGCAGGGCAAACACGGACCTCCAAAACATCAGAGGTGGATCAGGTGCCATGGAGGAGTGAGCATCCCCTGCTGACCGGTCACACTCGCCGTGTGCGCTCTATATTAAATATCAAAAAATAGCTTTCAAATCGACAATTTTTGTAGACTTTTTCAGAATATGAAGAAATTGACGCATTTCGTGACGTCATAATGAATTGACTAGCAAGAAAATTACGTCATTTTTGATAGATACGCAGTTACCAAAGATCTAAGTGATATTCAATGCATTGTTAAATTAAACTATGCAGTTTCAGTTTTTCAGAAATTCACAGGGCCAAATGAGGCAAAAATGAACCTTGTTCTTTGAGTGATTGTATGTTATTAAACGTTCTCCCTCGATATTTTCACTACTATGAAGAAGTCACCACTTGCCGGTGGAGAGCTACAAATTTTGTCCAGTGCTCGGCACTCAGGGCCATTGAGCAGTGAGGAATCTTTTTTGTGCCAGCACCTACTACGACACGGGACCTCGATTTATATGGTCTGATCCGAAGGACCGGTCTCCACGTCCTACAGTGGGATTCGAACCCGCGACGTAAGGATCGGCTCCTTACTTTGCAAACTCTAGAGCAGATGCTCTAACAACCAACTGCACCACGCGGGCGACCTTCAAATTTGAAAAATACGTTTATAAGTTTGCTATTTAAGCTTTTTTGACGTCCGTTTAAACTTGCGAATTTTGTTTCAACGATTAATTGTCAAGTTGTACACTAGCATCTAACACCAGTCAAAAGATTTCATGGTAGCACCTCTCTAAAAAGCACTGTTGAGTGGAGTGATCTGCAGTCCTTATATTACTGTAAATGTATATTATTTGGAGCGCACGATATTTGGCGGAAATTGATATTTCAACAAGTTATGGTAGATTTTACGGAAGCCCAATAGTGCAAACCAATAATAAATATTTAAAGGAATTTATTAAATAAAGAAAAAGGAAATTATTAAATAAAGAAAAAGGAAATTATAAAATAAAGAAAAAGGAAATTATAAATTGAGGAAAAACGAAATTAATATATACTGACACGCAAAAGAAACGCAACACCCTACTTTAGGGGAAAATAATTATTTAAAGTAAAAAAAATTTATCTTAAAATTATGAATATCTTCAATTTGGAAAACATCGGTAAATTAACGGTTGAACGATTTCCATACCATAACCGGAAGTCAAGTTTTAGTCTGCTTAACAGAAATCAAAAATTGCATGTTTAACAAAACATTTTGCAATATTATGGAGTTTTAAGGGTCTTTTACTATTCATCATAAGTAATGCAGCTATATTTCAAAAAAAATAAACTCTCCTGTCGTTTCCCGTAACGATGCTAAGGCTACTTGAAAATGGCTTATGTATACGCATTTCCATTGTTCTAGCTTGAAAATTTCAATGTAAAGGTAATGGAGAGTTGCTGATGCCAAATTTCACTACATTACGCCTCAACAGGGTCTTTCGTATCATATGCATTAAGGACAGTCCATGTACCGAAAGTCCAAGGGTGGCTATACTGCTGTACGTTAGAGAAAATTCGACCTAATCATCTGAAAAACGGGCATTTAAAAATGCCAAAGAATAATTCCTTCGTTTAGATCTCGATATTGATGAACCTATTGTATCGTAGAAATTAAGTTGCAGTTGTTGTTTAGGGCAGTCTTGCACGTTTTACTTGAATGGCTGGGAGGGGGGTGTTTTAACAGTCATATTTTACTTAGTAAAGTAAACAGATAAACATTTATCATTTTTATCAAATATCTGATGTTCTGAAAAGTGAGTTTAGCCTTACTTTATTCGCTTTTGAAAATCATAAGATAAAAAATCAAAGATTTGTAGATTACTGCTTGTTGCGTTTCTTTTGCGTGTCAGTATATAAAGAAAAACGAATTTAATATATAAAGAAATACGAAATTATTAAATAAATCATTTTGTTTTTCTTTGATCAATAATTTCGTTTTTCTACTTTTAATAATTTCGTTTCGCAAATATAGTTTGTCGATATAGGGCGTAAAGTGTTACGAGGTGATGCTTTATAACACGTGCGCTTTACGGATTGATTCATGGGTTCAGGCCCTTACTATGCACATCTATAAATTCCTTATTCTAGTTTCAGTTGTCTACTTGAAAAATGAAATTAATATATAAAGAAAAAACGAAATTAATATATAAAGAAAATGATATTATTAAAAGTATGAAACGAAATTGTTAAATAAAGAAAAACAAAATTATTAAATAAAGAGAAACGAAATTAATATATGAAGAAAAAAGAAACAATTTATTAACAATTTCGTTTTTCTTCATTTAATAATTTCGTTTTTAGTTCTACTTGTCAGAGACCAGAAGAGATATGCGATAATATTTCCATTTCTAATTTTTCTCTCTGTGATATATCTTTGAAAGTTATCGGAGTTTATTTCTTGATAATTCTGCCGGAATGTAAATTAGGCAGGTCGATAGGTCAGAAGCTAAGGAGGCCTAATATGCATGCAAATCTCGTGCGCATCCGTTTCTGTGTCTGACGCTGAGGAGGCCAAATATGCATGTAAATCTCGTGCGGCTGACTGTGTTTTGACGTCAGTGGGCGAGGACTATTGAAATTGGCATGTTAGTCCTCGTGTAATTTAAGTGTATGTCTACATTTTTAAGCCTTAAATCTACCATTTTATTTCACAATGAAATGGAAATATAAGGAATCACTGCCTAGTTAGTATAGTATGCCAGGGACATCAACGATAATGGGAAACATGGGATAATCTATGCATAGCAGGCTTCGCCCGTTATGCAAATTATCACATGTTTCCCACTATCGTTGATGCCCTGGCATACTACACTAACTAGACAGTGATTCCTTAAGTAATGCGTCCGGCGTCCGTCCGTCTGTCTCTCTGTCTGTCTGTAAACAACTTTTCAAAATGCTACTCCTCCTACAGTTTTAGTCTGATTTCAATATAACTTTGCACACAAGTCGACTACACTAAGATACATAATTCTATTTATCTGTTTTTGATTTCAATGAACGGTGTTGCCATGGTTACTAAAAATAGAAATTTCTGTAAAATTCTTTCAAAATGCTACTCCTCCTACAGTTTTAGTCTAATTTCAATATAACTTTGCACACAAGTAGACTACACTAAGATACATAATTCTTTATATCAGTTTTTGATTCCGATGAATGGTGAAATTAGAAATTTCTTTGAAATTTATTCAAAATGCTACTCCTTCTACAGTTTTGGTCTGATTACAATATTACTTGGCACACAAGTAGACTTCACTTAGGTTCATAATTCTATGTATCTGTTTTTGATTTTGATGAACGGTGTTGCCGTGGTTAATGAAAATAGAATTTTCTGAGAAATTGTTTCAAAATGCTACTTCTACAGTTTTGGTCTGATTTTAATATAACTTGGCACACAAGTAGACTACACTTAGATACATAATTCTGTGTATCGGTTTTTGATTTCGATTCACGATGTTGCCAAGGTTACTAATAATAGATATTTCTGTGAAATTCTATCAAAATGCTACTCCTTTTACAGTTTTGGTCTGATTTCAAAATAACTTGGCACACAAGTAGACTACACTAAAATACATAATTCTGTGTATCGGTTTTTGATTTCGATGAATGCTGTAGCCGTGGTTACTAAAAATAGACGTGGTTACTAAAAATAGAAATTTCTGTTAAGTTTTTTTCAAAATGCTACTCCTCTGACAGTTTAGGTCTGATTTCAATATGCTAGTAACTTGCCACACAAATAGACTACACTTAGATACACATATATCGGTTTTTGATTTCGGTGAACGGTGTTGCTATGGTCACTAAAAATAGAAATTTCTGTGAATTTGTTTCAAAATGCTACTCCTCCTACAGTTTTTGTTTGATTTCAATATAACTTGTCACACAAGTAGACTACACTTAGATGCACAATTCTGTATATGGGTTTTTGACTTCGATAAATATTATTGCCTTGGTTACTAAAAATAGAAATTTCTATAAATTACTCTCAAAATGCTACTTGAAATACAGTTTTAGTCTGATTATAATATAATGTGGCATGCAAGTAGACTACACTAAGAACATAAAGAGACTTTATCAACGAAGTTTAGGGGGTATATAGGAATCACCTTGTCCGTCTGTCCGTCCAGCTGTCTGTCTAGCTGTCCGTCTGTCCATCCGTCCAGCTGTCCGTCTGTCTATGTAAACGTGTCCAGTCCATATCTTTCTTACTGCGGAACATTAGAATCTACTACTCCACACAAAGATTGCCCATGATTCAAGGGTGTGTAATGACCTTGACCCAAGGTCATTTGGGGAAGTTCAAGGTCACTGGAAGTAAAAGTTCATAATTCGTGTCCGGTCCATATCTTTCTTATGGATAAACTTGGTAGGTTCTCATTTCACACAAAGATTGCCCATGACTTAAGGGTGTGTCATGAACTTGAACCAAGGTCATTTGGGAAAGTTCAAGGTCACTGGAAGAAAAAGTCCATAATTGGTTTCTGGTCTCTATGGATAAAATTGGGAAGTTCTCATTTCACACAAAGATTCCTCATGACCTAAAGGTGTGTCATGACCTTGACCCAACGTCATCTGTGCAAGCTTAAGGTCACTGAAAGAAAAATTGTATAATTCATGTTTGATACGTATCTTTATTCTGGAAAACTCTGAAAAACCCAGTGGGGGGTATTTAGTCCCGTTATGGACAGTTCTAGTTCTATTTATTGCTGTTGTAAAGTTTCATTACTGCATAAGTGCTTTTCTCTTCCTTTGCTATAAGTACAAAGTAGAGCTTCAGTCTCGACAGAAACTTCTGGTTCTTCATAAATTAATTTCGTTTTTCTTTATTTGATAATTTATTTTCTCTTTATTTAACAATTTCTTTTCTCTTTATATAATAATTCCGTTTTTCTTTATATATTAATTTCGTTTCTCTTAATATATTAATTTCGTTTTTCGTCATTTAATGATTTCGTTTTTCTTTATTAGCTCTACTAGTCAGAGACCAGAAGAGCTTATGCGATAGTCATTCGTCCGGCGTCCGTCCGTCTGTACGTCTGTCTATCTGTAATCAATTTTTCAAAATGCTACATTTCCTACTGTTTTGGTCTAATTTCAATATAACTTGGCACACAAGTAAACTACACTAAGATACATAATTCGGTTTTTGATTTCGATAAACAGTGTTGCCATGGTAACTAAAAATATAAGTTTCTGTGAAATTCCTTAAAAATGCTACTTCTCCTACAGTTTTGGTCTGATTTCAATATAACTTGGCACACAAGTAGACTACACCAAGACACATAATTCTGTGTATCGGTTTTTGATTTCGATAAACGGTGTTGCCATGGTAACTAAAAATAGAAATTTCTGTGAAATTCTTTCAAAATGCTACTCCTCCTACAGTTTTGGTCTGATTACAATATAACTTGGTACACAAGTAGACTGCACAAAGATACATAATTCTGTTTATCGGTTTTTGATTTCGATGAACGTTGTTGCCGTGGTTACTAAAAATAGAAATTTCTGTAAAATTGTTTCAAAATGCTATTCCTTCTACAGTTTTGGTCTGATTTCAATATAACTTGGCACACAAGTAGACTGCTCTGAAATACATTATTCTATACATAGGTTTTTGATTTCGATGATTGGTGTTGCCGTGGTTACTAAAAATAGAAACAGAATTTTTTTTTTCAAAATGCTACTTCTCCTACAGTTTTGGTCTGATTTCAATATAACTTGGCAAACAAGTAGACTACACTAAGATCCATAATTCTATACATCGGTTTTTTTTATTTCGATGAATGGTGTTGCTGTGGTTACTAAAAATAGAAATTTTGTAAAATTGTTTTAAAATGCTACTCCTCCTACAGTTTTAGTCTGATTTCAATATAACTTGGCACACCAGTAGACTACACTAAGATCCATAATTCTGTATCTCTGCTTTTGATTTCGATGAACGGTGTTGCCGTGGTTACTAAAAATATAAATGTCTGTATAATTGTTTCAAAATGCTACTATTCCTACAGTTTTAGTCTGAATTCAATATAACTTAGCACACAAGTAGACTACAGTAAGAACACAAAGAGACTTTATCAAGGATCATTATTCTATTTATTGCTGTTGTTAAGTTTCAAATCTCAACTGCTTAAGTACTTTTCTCTTCCTTTGCTATAAGTACAAACCAGTAGAGCTTCAGTCTCGACAGAGACTTCTGGTTTGATAATTTCGTTTTTTTTATTTTTGTTTTTCTATATTAATTTTTGGTTTGCACTACTGGGCGCCCGTAAGATTAGATTTAGCGCATTTCTTAATGTTCTCTTTCATGCATATATGTGCAAGTATGTATACGTAAGCTGACCTTTATTCGTTGTCTGCCATTGCAACGCTGTGTAGCAATAAATCAAATGAACCGCGCAAATAAATTACATACGACGATTTATGACAAGTTTTACCACGGATGAAGTACATGACGAGTTCACCAACGGGTATGCGGAGATGCAATATTTGTTGTTATTAATTAAGATTTGCAAGCATCTTAATACTTTCTCCCTCGTGAAAAGAACAGTTCAGTAAAACCAATTAAAGTATAATTTATTGTTTAAGTTAATTTTTCATTATACTAAACGATTTTACGTTAATTTACGTAAATAATTTTTTACTCATATAGAGAGCACCATCAACTAGTGAAAGCTTCATATTTAAATCAATACACGGCACTCGGGTGCATAGTGAAGGCGTTTTATTGTGCGAGGACAACTTGACACGGGTCCTCAAAAAATCCTCAGAAAATCGTCTTTTATACTTCAATCGACCCTTTACATATGTATCATACGAAATTTACATACCTCTGTATATGTAGTTTTTATAAATATGAGAACCAATAAAATACATTTTAAGGTGTTGGCCTCAGATATAATTTGTCAATGGAATTTTAAATTTTAAAGGAAACTGTAATTTGTCTTATAATAAATTATTTTTTTCATTACAGGAGTGTTTAAAGTTCTTCGATGATTTTTTGGACTTATTTGATGGAAGGGATGACCTTCAGAGGCATTTACACACAGAGAGAATATTTTTCATCAAATTTCCAAAACCTGGATCAAAATTGGAGGATGTTAACGACATAAAGAGATGCATTTCTACTCTTTCCAGAGCACATTTGGAGGAAAATGTTCGATCAGCCTGGGCTATATTTGAACAAATCGTTGAAAAAGAAAAGCAAGTAAAAAAAATAATGTTAATGGGCGATCTTTTAAAGTACAATAATTCTTTAAAGCCCGAGTTTCAAATGAGTGAAGAGGAAATTACAAATATGCTACTGTTTTTGAATAGAGTAGGGGCTGTGTTGTACATAGATGATGAAAACGTAAACGATACCATCATTCTTGATGTACAATGGTTTGTGAATGCATTTAAATACATCATCACAGATTCAGTAAGTGTGCTTAAAGCAACAGATAAAGATCGTGAAAGATTTTATAATACCGGTGTATTATACGATGATGAACTTGAAGAAATATGGAGAAATCACTACGAAGACAATAGCGATTTTTTTACTCATAAAGCAAAAATTCTTTCCTTTATGGAACAGCTTGGTTTACTCGCAGTTTGCTCTCCCGAACAAACCGATAAGCCTGGAAGCGGAACTTGGTACTATTTTCCCTGTATGAATAAAAGAACATTTCATCGGAAAGAAATCGAAGAACATACTAAATCTTCGATTTTATGCTTTCAGTTTGACGAAAAAGATCAACTTCCAATTTTTATTTTTTACAGATTAGTTCTGAAATGTTTCAAGCTACCAAACTGGAGATTTGCAATAGAGAAGGAAAAAAGGTGTTTATACGATAATGTAGCATGTTTTTGCTTCAAGGAACACGTGCTGGTAGTGTTATGTTTATGCAATTTTCAAATCCAGGTGCAAGTTTGTGTGCCAGAGGATGGCGTCATAAATCCTATAGACCTTAAAACCATACAACAGTCCATTGAAATGAAGTTACAGGAGTTTAAAAAGTGTTCATACAGAGTTGGCTACAAATGCCGAAATGATTTGTTGTATGATGAGAGTGACAACTCTTTCATTGAACAGGACTCTCTTCCTTTGAAGCCAACACTTTGCAGTAAATGCAGTGTTAGAGAAAAACACAATTTAGACGAAAGTTTATGCTGGGTATGTTTGGTTTGTTTTAACAAATACGGTATTTCATGCTTAACTCTTCATCAAATGAAAGAAATAAAAAGTAATTCAAGAAAACAATTTTTGAATTTTTCATAAATACGGTATTTCTACCCGTACTCTTATACAAACAAAAAAAAAATAAATATAAATAAGCAAGGTATTAAAAGAATTTATGCATTGTATGACTTATACTAGTAAGGCCTTGATTTTGTGTTTAAATTTTTCCAGATAAAAAGAGGAAAAACAAATGAACCAGGTTGGTATCAATTAGAATCTTTTTGCTTTGAAACTGTAGAAACGTATTATGAACTGCAAAAGAGAAGTTGATTGAAAATACATTGGGGAAATACATAGTATTTAATAATTTATATATATTTTTTTCTTAATTCTTAATTTTTGATAGTGAATAGTTTTTACGATTTAATACAAAATGAAATATTTCATAAGCAATACATTTACTGCCTTTCAAAATATTGGATAAAGTAGGGAAAACGCTAGAACATCGGCCAGGTTCTATGACCACATATTTTGCCAAACACTAATATCATATATATTAAAGCAGGGTAGTCAGGAAGAGCAAATAAAGACTTCTTTGGAGAGAGCCAACGGTAAAGAGTTAAGAGTCAAAGTCCATTAAAAATTTACTAAATTAAGTTAAAAGATAACGTATTCTTTACTTTTAACTACTGTGGATGAAATTGCTGATATCCTAAAGCAAGAAATTAAAATATTTATCAATCACGCGAATCTTTCTATATACATATATATATATAGAAGCTGTAATGATGCATTGGACAATGCTGCGCAGTTTACAAACACGGGCGTTGTTGAGACTAAACACACACACACGCTTTAGTGCATAATTTAATGCAGCTGTCAACGACTCTTGAATACAACCGATGGTCAAATCGATATTTTTCGGTAAACGTAATTTTATCTCAAGTATATTATAATTTTAAACATTGTTAATAGCAATTTGTATTGGGATGCGATGCTTCTCTTTTGCGGTTCAGTAGATAATAGACCTTATTATGGTTTGTTTCTTAAATTTGTTTTCATATATTTGTAATCGTGTATATCGGGTATGCCTAAAAAACTATAGGGTATGTTAATTAATAATGTAAGAAGTATCGATTAATAAGCTTGCTTATTTAATCCACATGCGTAAAGATACAATGTTTGCTAGTTACATGTAGCTGTTACTCATTCATTTTATCTTTTACAAGATAATAAACCAACCTATTTAACGCATGTGGAACAAAACGACGAAGGATTTGGATCCATAAAAAGCATCTGGGATTCTTGCGTAGCAGGAAATACAGAAAATTTTTTCTTCATCATGAAAAACGAAATTCAAGGTAGAGAACACCTGTTGAGAAAAACTGACAAAGACGATTGGAGTGCTGTTCATTTTGCAGCAAAAGGTGGAAATCTTGAAATATTTTCAGCTCTGATTTCCGACAAAGCTATTCTTCTGAAAACAAATGAACAAATGACAGTTTTACACATTGCAGCAAAGTACAGTAATTATGATATTTGCAAGTTCATTTTAGAGAACGATGAATTCAGGGAACTATTAAGAGAAAAGTCATGTCTAGGAAAAAATGCTTGTCATTATGCAGCAGAGGGCGGGTCTCGCAAAATATTAAAGTTGTTAGTGAAGAATAAAGAACTAAATGTAAACGAAACAACAAATGATGGTCAAAACATATTCCATATTGCTTGTATTCATGGCAATTTAGACATGTGTCAATTCATTGCAGAAAATTATAATAAATTGATTTCTGCAGTAGACAATGATGCATGGAATGCAACGTTGTACGCTGCAAAACAAGGTCACATACACATTTTGAAATTTCTTAGGGCAAACGGTGTTAGTTTCAACAATCAGTCAAAAAGCAAGAGAAATGCCCTTCACATTGCATGCGATAATGGACATAAACCCGTCTGTGAATTTATAGTAAAAGTTTGCCCTTCATTGCTGGAAGAGAAAGATTATAAAGGCAGGCATGCGGGTCATTTTGCTGCAAGAAGCGGCAATGTTCCTACAATGAAATTCCTAAACGATGCGAAGCTTGACGTCACAAAAAGTACAGAGACTGGGTTGAATATCCTTCATTATGCATGCCTGTATCGCCGAAAGGAAATGTGTTTATATCTTCTGGACACTTTTCCTCACCTGAATGTGCAAAGAACACAACACGGATGGACCACCGCTCATTTCGTTGCTGAAAAAAAAGTGAATTCGGGAAATGAAATAGAGATATTTGAAATCATCACAAACGCCAAAGAAAACTGTAGAATTGAAGAGGTCACACACAAAAGAAATTCAATTCTTACATTGGCAATAAAAAATAATTTCTATGAATTTTGTGAATACCTTTTACAGACTCATCCAGATATTTTAGATATTCCAGGGGCAATTCATCCAAAGGATATAGAAAAGAAAGACACAAAAATGTCCAATATTATTGAACGTTATATCAAGTTGAAATAGGATTTCGTTCGCCGTCGGTCAATTCAAGTGTTACATAAAAGTTTTAAAATTCAGAGAATTCAAAACTAACTATAACAAGTATTTCAATGGTGCTGCCGTGGATGCCAAATTTAGTTAATTGTGAACTTCTTTTAAAATTATATTTTTAAGAAATATTTTTCTACAGCAAGCATTTTGCTACTTCTTCGCTTCTCTACTAATTTCAATAAAATATACAAATTGCAGGAGGTTTGTTATGTTCATTGTAAAAAGAAAATAAGTAAAAGTCTTTTTATGAGGTTTCTTTTTCACTTCAGTTAAACTAAAAACTGAAAAGGTAGACGAACCAATTAAAACAATTCAAATAAAGGAAGGTGTTGCTTTTTTCAGGAGGCTAAGGGGGCAACAAAGTAACCAACATATTTAACTTCATTTTTTTAGATGCGATATCTTAAGCTATAAACTATCATTTGGCAAAAAAAATTGAAACATTTTTTTTAATATCTTCTTATGGAGCTCTTCTTCTAACAAAGAATAATATAGTCCTACAATGGCCACAATCCCTTAATCCTCTGACGTACGAAATAGTGAAAAAAAATACTTTATATGTGTTCCATTTCATTTGCTTAAAATGAAACTGCCACGCAAGTTTGGTTTACGATGTCTTTTTTTTTTATTGGTTTATCTATTTTAAAAAATATAACATTTAAATAAGACTTCTGTAAGGGATAAAAAAAAACGAGATGGTGTTGAATAGTTTAGAGAAAACATTCTCTCCGAGGGCCGAAGGTCAGAGGAGGGGATGTTTTCTCTAAACTATTCAACACTATCGAGTTATTTATCTTACTTTAAAAAATTCCCTACTTTGGGCCCCAAAGAAACATTTATCCATTCAAATATCCAACTAGCCGTAATAGAATAGGATGTAGCCCATTCAAATATCCAACCGTGACACAAAACAAAAGCCTAATCGAACACCCCTTTTATTCATGGACTAGTGAGCATGAAACTACGTGGTGCTGATTTCATTTTAACCCTTTTCATTGTACTGAACACTCATGAAAGCAGACGAAGAATATTTTAAATCCAATGTAAATCAGAGAGGTTCAGGTAGTGTTTTGAATACTTATGACCTGAAAGCTGAAGAAAACTACAGAATTTTTATAAAAGATTGGGAATTTGTCATTACATATCATAAGATGATGGTTTGTTGAGGAAAAGCGTTGAATTCTTATGGAGTTCCATTCGGACAATACTTAATTAATAGTGCTTAAACAGATAAAAAGATTGGCGGTGTTATGCTGAACCTGCTGTAAAAGATTCATTTTCAAGATCTGCAATCAAAATGGTGTCGAAAAATAGCTGATCTCTCAATTATTTAAGTTCTTTTGGGAAGTACGAAGAATGAAACAGATATGAATCTCGGATAATCTGAAGGGATTTACTGAAAACAGACCCTGAAATAATATTCAGCAAGAAGAAGTTATGTAGTTTAAGATTCAAATGGTGAAAATGTATTTATGTGTTAAAAGGTGATGATTTTAAGATTTAAGCAGGGAAAGAAAAACTTTAGGTTACTTGGTATTGAATTTGATATAGATTTGCAGAAAATACTTTCGAGGAATCTCAGTTCAAAGTTAGAAAACATAAAGAAAATGATAAGACATTGGAAACGTAGGAATCTCACACCACTAGGACGATTAACAGTTTTGAAAACACTTTTATCGCCAATATTGAATCATATTTTTGCCTCTCTTCCAAATCCCACTGATTTATATATAAAAGATTTAGAAAACACCTTTTATTCTTTTGTAATGGGAAGTAATGCTTTTAGACTTAAAAAACGAGTTTGTATTAAAGATCTTAAAGATGGCGGTTTCAAGATGATTAGTATTAAAGAGTTTATTATGTCTCTGAAACTTGTATGGATATTTAACTTTAGATTTAAAAAAATAGTTTTTTGTGGAGAAGAATACATTCTTAAGAAAATAAAAGATGTGAAAAAAATTGTTTTGGAAAAATGTTTTAGAAGCCTGGCTATTTTTTTCTAAAAAAATTACCAGAACCAGAAGCAAGTGCATCTATAATAATAATAATGATAATAATAATAATACTTTATTTAAAGAAGGTAGCCCGATTAGTGCACGCACTATTCTTCCCCGGGGCCTTCTGTAGACAAAAAACAATGTACATACATATACAAATATACACAATCAAATAAATAATCATAAGTTATTTCGACATTGTTTTACAAATATTTTGATTTGATGTTTGAAAGCATTCAGTGTTTGAGACATTTTTATATGTACAGGTAAATTATTCCATAAGATAGCACCAGAGTATTGAAAGGAGTTCTCAAAAAGTTTACAGCTACGAGCTGGTACACACAGGTCTAAATTAGATTCTGATCGAAGATTGTATTGATTATTACACTGGAAGTTAAACATACTATTTAAATAAGTAGGGTGAGAGTTAAACAATGATTTATATAACAAAACATATTTATTTACAATAAGTTGCTCATACACTGTGAGCCAATCTAGTTTCTCAAAGAGAGGTTGTGAGGGCGCATCAGGAGGAGCATCTAAAATACATCTTGCAGCTTGTTTTTGAAGCTTATATACTCTGTCAAGATTTGAGTGCGATGTATTACCCCAAATAGTTAAACAATAATCAACTGAAGGCATAATATATGCATTGTAAAATAGCTTGCGTATTTCAGTTGGAAGATACTTTTTAATTCTACGGAGGGCTGAAATTTTACGTGACAGTGTTTTACAAACATGGTCAATATGTACATTGTATTGTAAAGAATTATCTAAATAAACTCCAAGAATTTTTTCATTTGATATTATATCAAGTTTTTTGCTTGATACAAATAGATTTATTTCATGCTCAGGAAAATTTGATCTCTTTTGATGCGTACCGACTAACATGCATTTGGTTTTTGTAGCATTTAGAACCATTTGATTTTGAGAACACCATTTTTCTATTGAAGCTATATCCGTTGATAATGTATCTACAACAGTTTGAGAATCTTTACTTGATGTATGTAAAGTAGCATCATCTGCAAATAATTCTAATTTGGATTTTGTAATACATAAAGGAAGATCATTAATGTAAAATAAAAACAGAAGGGGGCCTAGTATAGATCCCTGTGGAACTCCCGCTGTGACTTGCTGATAAGATGAATGTTTGTTGGACAGATGGACACTTTGAAGTCTTTCACTTAAGTATGACCTGAACCATTGTAAAGTTGTTGCATCAAAGTTATAACATTGTAGTTTTTTAAGGAAAATATCATGATTGACAAGGTCAAAAGCTTTACTGAAATCAAGAAAAACAGTACCAACAAGTTTACCTTGGTCCATTTCATTTAACCATTCATCAGTAATTTTAGTAAGGGCTGTTTGGCAAGAATGTAGTTCTCTGAAGCCTGATTGAGAATCTACTATAAGATCAAAATCCGAAAAAAAGAGATCGTATATATTTTGCAACATGTTTTTCAATAATTTTTGATAATGTTGGTAAAATAGAAATAGGCCTATAATTATTTGGATCTAATCTGTTTCCTTTTTTAAAGACTGGGGTAACTTTTGCAAGTTTAAAACTGTCGGGGAAAATACCAGTTAAGATACTGGTATTTATAATGTGGGTCACAGGTTTATGTATTATTTGTGAAGTAAGTTTCAATAGACGTGGCCCGATCGATGGTATCAACACCTGAAGATTTACTTGTATCTAGTTTATTGAGTTGATGAGTAGTAATTTTAGGCTCAAAAGTAATGAAGTGATTTATTATTAAATGTCCAGAGTTACAGGCATTTGGATGCATTGCCCAGACTAGTCAAGCTGTGTTAGGGTAATTAAAAGTAGAGCAGTGTCTAGTGTGGTCAAGAATAATGAGTCTTTAATGAGTGGAGCAATGGGAGCTATTGTTCGTAGAATCGGGAGCCGTGTATTGAGTTAAGGTCAAGCTAAGTTATGACAGTTTGATAAGGATTTGATAAAGATATATGTAGAGTTGGAGTTAGTTAATTAATAGGATGGAGCTAATGTTTTAGATAATGATCTATTGGAGCTAAGATTAGTATATAATAAGTGTGACATTTTTAGAAGGGGGGAGTGCTTTGCTAGGATTTAGACAGTACATATGCTAGCATAAATGTAACATCTTTCGTTTGTATTATGCCTCCTCATTGTATATATGTAAATAAATAAGTGCACTGTTTACTGACTTTTTATTGGATTTAGCATTACAAGGATTTATCAACCAAGGATATCTTAATTACAATTGGATATATACACACTGGAATTAAAAAGTTATAATTGCTCGGTCACCTCCGTGACAGAGTAAAGTTAGTACTTCGTCATGATTTATGAGTGGGATAGAAAACTTGTCTGCGCCCAATTTAGACTTAACAAAATCTAAAAGATTTGTAAAGTCATTTTCCTCCTTATTTATGTCTGAAAGAAGTTCTACAGAAATATTTGAAAAATGAGAATTAAACAATTCTACTATTTCTTGTGTATCCTCTGTGATATAATTATTTTTAGCAAGTGCAGCTGGAATATAATTACGAGATTTAGAAGCTAAACTGTTTAATACACATTTGTTTTGAGTTTTTATTTAGTTCTATAGCTGTTTTGTAATAATTAATCTTGGCGTTTTCAATTAGTGATGTGACTTTATTGCGCCATATTTTGAAATTTTCAAAGTCTTTATTTTTATGGAGGGTATCACGCATGTGTTGAGCTTGCAGAATTTCCGGAGTTAACCATTTAGGTCTTGTGTCGTGCTTAACTCTCTTTGTTTTTACTTTTGCATGTTTGTTTAATACAGCATTAAAAAGTGAATAGAATTTGTTGAGTGCTTCATTAGGGTCTGAAAATAATTCCAATGATTGGAAATTTACCTCTTTTAAGTCTGCAAGAAAATTATTTTCATTAAATTGTTTAAAGTCTCTGTATGTTATTTCTGTGTGTTTGAATTTATTGATGTTATTATTTAATTTTCTCGTAAAACAGACAGGGTAATGGTCAGAGATCGCAATTGATGGTACTGCAGATTCACATATGTTTTCTGGTAGGGTAGTATAAATATGGTCAATAAGAGTTGATGAGGTGTTTGTTATTCGTGTAGGTACATTAATTAGCTGTGTGAAGTCATATTCTTCAAACGCAGAGGTCCAGTATCTTGGGGGGTCTTTAATCAGGTCGATGTTAAAGTCACCTGTTAAAATAA